TTTGGGCAGAGCAATGGACCTGTCGTAAGACAGAACACTGAATAATAATAATACTAATATGGTTTCTATTTAAATAAACAGGCCTAATTATCACGGCACTTTCTGCATTAAGTCGTCTGCCCAGAAGTTTCCCAAACATCACATCCGTTTGCTTAAACCAGTTTTCTTCGCTCCATAATCCTGCGTTACGTAATGCATCACAGCAGATAGAAGTTGATTGGTTGGAGTTGTTTTAAGTTTATGGCGACAGTTTCAGCTCATAACGAACAAGGGCTTAAATAATCTCTTGTCATTGCCATAAACAGGAGTGGAAAGAAAGCGGACAACAGACGCTGTTACGCAACACCGAGCTTGCAGCTCATGTGCTGTGATGGCAGGGAAGTTTTTGTCAACTTAGAAAGTTCTTTCTTTCTTTCTTTCTTAATGTTATTTCTAAAATTTCTTCTTTATGTAGTTTAATCTTCATTTGCTCCAAATTTTTCTGTCGTTTATGTTTAGAATAAATGATTGAATAAGTTTAAGACGCGGAAATAATAATGTATTCGTAGTAAACGTGTCTTTACAGTCTACGGTAGCATTTAAACAGGCATATCCGGTAGAGAGGCTAAAAAAGTTTTTTATACTCTCATATAACGTGCCCATTAAAAATGCCCGTTATAAATTTAAATTGTACTAAGTTTTTTTGTGTGTGTAAAAACATACAACATCACATTCAGCTGAAATCAGTTCCCAAATTATTTTAAGTTTCCGGACGGACCAGACCGTTGTAACAGGTGCCCCGCAGGGTTGCAAACATCACAGCGTAATGTTTCCCGAAAGGGTCTACGACAACACTGGAAATACCGCCGCTGAGAGGTTATGTATAAGATTTGAGGTGTGAAATCTTACTTGAGATGAACTGAACGTTGTTGAGACTTTTTTGTGATTTTTCTCAGTCACTGCAAACGATTACATTTTAGAATATGTTTTAACTGCTTCCTTTTGAAACTTCTCCGAGTCATCATTTTCATCATCCATCCACTGGCTCGTATTTCATTCCACGCCACGTGAGCTTCTTAAAATAACCTAAGATCCAAAATCAATGTAGACATACTGGTATATGATGCAATTACGTGTAAAGATTGATGCAGTGACATCGCTCTAGAT